ATTTATTCCTAAAAGTTTTTTAATTTTAATTTGCTATACTAATACAATTTCAAAAAATTTTTTTTTTTTTTGTCTTTTTTGTTTTTTTTTAATTTTTTTTTATTTTATTTTTTTTCAACTGAAATTTTTCATTTTAATTTCCTTACAATTGAATCCTTTGGGCCTCCTTTGTTTTATACACTCGTTAAATATCCTATATCCAGAAATCCTAATTAAGGATATCTTACGATTCTGTCTTTACAACTTTCTTTCGAATGCCCTGGCTCGACATTGCTTCGGTACAATTAAAAAAAAAAACTCTTATCCCCAGAAATACAACAAGATTTTTTCGCGGCGAAGAGAAACTCCAAAATTTAGACCCCGGTTAAGCTTTACCCTCTACCATAAATCACAATCTTTCAATAACACACTTAGACTTACCAATCTTTTTCACCACAACAAAATCAATATTAACCATTTCCACTCCTAGTTTCAATACAGAAGGAAAACATTAATGGATGCATAACGTTATCGCCTAGTTAAAGTCATTCCTTAGTTCTTGGGAATGAATAGAGGCACATCTTGATATTACCTTTCTTCAAAGCCCTCCTAGCTCTCCTATAAATTCGCCAACTTCACATTAATCCCGTTCTCTGGTAGGGTAGAAATTAAATTCAACCGATTATCAAAGTAAATTTTGGTCCATGGAACATCCTTTTAGACCTAAAAATGGATTAGAAACTAATCGAAATAATTTGATTTAACCAAAAAAAAAAAAAATCCCATAAATAAATTTTTTTTTCCCAGAATTAAAAGACTTACTTGTTTATCTAGCATTAATGGTTAATTGTGGGTAATTAGCATAATTAGCTGATCGAGAACTTAAATGCTGAAGCAACCATAATGATTCATGAATTAAATGATTTGCTATTTGATCTTATATATGCTGGTAATAAGATATCAAATTATGTTTTACATGGAAAATGAAAATTTAAAATATAAGAATAAAATCTTGTTTTTTTCTAATTGAAGAATAATATAAATTCTCTAAAAATTTGTATATGTAATAAAGTTGTTTCCTTCCTCGCTTTTTTCGCAATCCTAAACATCGCGTCTCAAAGCTGGAAAATTTTTGTATGGCCCACCAGTAAGTTTGGTGATAAACCGAATGAATTTGTAAAACCCATAACCATAAGGTTGCAATTAAAGGCCCAAAGAATTCCAGTGAATGGACCCAATCGTCAAGCCGCAACTATAGGCATTGAAATGAAGCCATTAGTCCCAGTTAACCCTTTCCTTCCCGCCAAAGCCCAAAAAAATGTTGTCTCTTCCCTAATTCCCGTCTGTTAATCGTGTTGCCTCTGTGAACGCTTCAGGGAACCGAAATCCAAGACGGGAAACGGGAACTTTGACTTAGACATACTGCCGCTACAACTATCGAGGATATACTCGTTATCCATCCTATCGGTCGTAACTATTAAACTCCAGTATCGAGCGAACAGGTCTGCCTTCGTATTGAGTCCTACTTACCTTCTCTTACTAAGTACTCTGGATTTATTAGGTATCAGTCTAATAGCACTATCATCTTCATCATCCTTGTCAAATGTTGGAAAGTTTAGCTCGAAGTAATTTCATTGTTTAATGTTACTCGAAACACCTGATTTCTTGTTGTTTTACAACCACTTTTGTACAAGCCAATCTTAAAAATGGAGGACGCCCGAAGAAAAAGATTGCCTCGCCCCGGCTTATTTTTATCTAAAAAAAAAAAAAAACGTTGCTGCGGACACAGGAGATTATTGTTTGGCATTTATACTACAAAAAAGCTTAAGTGATCGTCAAGCTCAACGCTTGGATTTATTTCATCAGTAATTAACCTTTCTTTCTTTTTGTTCATTTTAACTGTTGACCTTTACCAATCTGTTTTGCCGTACCAGCGGAAGGCATGTTTAATAGTCGTAGCCGCACTACTTCTCATTAGCTTTGCTTCAAAATCATTATTTGGGTACTTCTCGACGAGTTTTTGAAAAATATACCCTTTTAACATTAAATTAATTCTTGTGCGAGCCTTTTTTTTTTTTTTTTTTTTTTTTTTTTTTTTTATTTCAAAATTTTGGTAAAATAAATCTGGGTGTATTGTCTCAAGCATGTTTTGGAGCTTCTATGTTAATTCGGTTTAATTCTATGCTGTTTGAAGCTTCTGAATTATTGGAGCCAATATATCTGGCTTTTGTTACCTATCATTGTTCATCTAAAAGTTGGCTACGGATTTCTTCCTCTTAGTTAACTATTGCTGATTGCTCGCATGCAATCCTTCATTCAACCGGGTATTGGAAGAAACATTTTTTTTTTTTTCTTTTCAGGTAATGTGAATCCTTCTGTAATCTGGTGTTCAACTAAGGGGTAGGTTGCCTTAAGGAAGCTAGGAGCACTACCTCTCGCCAGGCTCAAGAATGCTACCTTATTCTCATGCTGTTGATTGTTCACAAGGATCTTTTTGGTAAACTAATTGTTCCCATGCCTCTTTTCCAGGTATGTTTTAACCTTAAATTAGGTGTTCTTTTTGCTAGTCCCATCCGCAATGTTCTTGTTAAATTTAGAACGTCTTGTGACATTAAACTTTTTAAAACCTGAAACTAAACCATTGGAGCCTGGCTTTCAAAATCTTTATTTGAAGGTTGGCTGTAGGAAGTTCTACAACCTTCTTTTCTTTTCTACTTTTGCCCCAAGTCACCCTAGGTTTGCAAACCTCTCTTCTTTGTCTCTCGGACTTGGGATTATAGCTTATCCAACTGTTGTTTAATTTTCTTCTATTAGTCACTTTGGACATAGCCCAAACCATCTCAATCACCCTCATCAACTACACATTCACTTTTTCTAAGCTAATCTATAATTACAAGTACAAGGTTGAAGAAAAAGTATTCATGTAATTCCTTGTTATTGGCTTAAAAGTTTTTGTTAATCGTTACTACAATTGTTTTGAATTGTATTCCTACTTTATTTATTCATTGCTTATCTTAGTGTCCACCAAATAATCCTATTCTATTAACTCACAATTTAAAAGAGTATAATAATTGTGCAAGTTAATTAAGCCATTTCATTTATTTAATAGATGAGTTCTGTATTTATTATGGTATTTCCTTGATATTTACGTGCTTACAGCAACTCGAATTCTTCTGGAGAAAAGCCATTAGAGTATTTAATTCTCCCGCCACAGAGAATTGGCAAGATGTGCTTGGTTTGGAGCAAGTAAAGTTTAAAGAATTCACATATTTGCCATCAATTTCAAAATTAACTAAATTCTCAGAAAAAAGTTAATACCAAGGTCAAAAACTCCTAAAAACTAATGCAATTTTTACTAGTTTTTAGAAAATATATCTGTGTTTCAAGACAATTCTTAGTTTGTTTTGGGTATGGGTAAATTTATTACTGTTTACAACTTTTATTGTCAGCGAATTTGGAATTATTCTTCTTAAAAAAGCATCATTTTCGTCCTGATTAACTTGCTTTGAAGGTTTAGATTTTGATTATCTCAAGTTCTTTATTTCCCTTCAAAATTTTCCAGTATGGCATATGATGGATGTGAAATATCTACCCTGAAGCTTTCCTGTACCTTTTTTGGTTTCCGGGAACAGGGAATACCACCACACACACCACACACACACAAACACACACGAACACATAATATAAATATATATATATATACTTCAATATATTCTGTGCATTTCAAAACTATGCTAGCCATGTTTATAATCTCTTATTTGTTTTCAAACTAATTGCATCAAACTTCAATTTTCCAAACAAAATCCTCAATAGCATGGAAGTTCAAAAATTTGTTCACTGTGTTGCAAAGTGAAAGCAAACTTCCTCTAAGCTTGATGTTTTCCTGATATCTTATATACAATTTTTGGGAAGGATTGTTTGAGTTTATTTGAACACTGGAGCAATGAGTGTATCATTCTGCTAAGATTTGCAATAAAACGGTAAGAATTGTTTGCTTATACAATTATTGTATGCAGGTACGATTTGGATCAACTTCAATCAATCAATCCTCTTAAAGAACCCATCATGAAATCGATAACTTCTGTTGAAACTAAAGTGAGTGGCTTTCCAGTTTGTGTGAGTTGTTTCCTATACGAAAGTTACAATTTTTCACATTTGCTATCTGTTTAATAAAAAATGTTTTTAATTTTCTTTATGTCACATTTAATTGTCTGCCTTAAACCATCGGCCTCCCTCTGCAATACATTTTTCTTTTGCAATGTGGTCCTTTGTGTTAAATAGATTTTTATTTTCAATATATTTTTTTAGGATATATTCTAGAATATTAGATCTCCTGTTATGGGGGGGGGGAATTCTAACTGCTCGAACCCGTTGGACCTTGAAAGTATGAGAATTTCAATGTGGATTTTATTGGTTTGGGCTCAATCACTTTCACGAGCTAAGCTTTTTGGAGTTGTGGTTTCTCCCAAGGTTTAAAATTATCGTTGCTCCCATCTTGGACATATTTTTTATGAACTCTCCAGTATTTTGTAAATGGTATGCTTGGTTTGTCTTGGTTTAGAAAACTAGTCTCTAACTTTATTATTATTTATTATTTTTTGTGAAAATTCATTGATGAAAGTTTCTTCCCTGTTCTTTTATTTCTGTCCTCAAAATACATTTAATCAGAGCTAATTTTGATATCCTAATATGTTGTGGAAAATTAAAATGTTATGGGTACTCTTTCAAAGCATCACCCAAAAAAAAAATTGCATGACACGACCATGAGATGCTCCAAAATTGTAAGTGTCAACAATATGTTTGGCTAAATGGCTATGGTTTAGAAAAATATTTCCACTAAATATGTTTTTTTTGGCCAACTGTTGTGACATTTCATACACCTCCCTCAGTATCACGTAGTTACCTAAATCTTAACGCAGTAGTATATAGGTTGGTATCTGACTTTTGTCCAAGCCAAAATATGAAGAACAGTATAATATTCTTTGAATATCGTGGTGAAAATAAAAACCCTTAAAAATAATATGTTTAGTTATCCTGCACTCTTGAATTTTGAACGGTGCTTCAAAAGGAAATCCTGTGCTTCAAAAGGAAATCCTGGTCCAGCTGGTGCTGGAGCTGTGCTGCGTGCTGCAGAGGGAGCATGGTATGCTGTTACTTGAATTATATATTAGTCTGCCATATGATCTTTAAACTATACCTCTTTCTATTTCTGAGCTTTGGTAGGTCTGCCGGCTTCGTGAGGGATTGGGCACTGCAACAAATAATGTTGCTGAATATCGAGCTGTAATATTAGGACTGAAGCATGCACTTAGGAAAGGGTTCAAAAATATCCGTGTCCAAGGAGATTCAAATCTTGTCTGCATGCAGGTTCTATGTTTTAATCCTACAATACCTTCCTTTTTGAAGGATATTATTTTGCAAATATACTTAAGGAAGTTTGGTTTTATTTTCAAAAGCAGACCAAAAGAAAATTAGATTGCCCTGTGAATGAATTTCTTGCTTTTGCAAGTTTTCTGAAAGGAAAGAAAATGTGAAAGGAATTATACAAGAAAAAATGAGGATAATAAATCAGAAAGAGAAAACTAAAAACAGTTTAGCTAAAAAAATTTCTGAAAAATGAGAGCTGATACACATTCTTTTAGTTCTATTACTCTGAAATACACAATTGTAACTACTAATTGGTATCTTATTTGGTTTTATTGCTAATTATTTATTTGATATTTCCCTTGTCTTAATTCGTCCAAACTGCTTCCAGAAAGGGACAAAACTCTGCAACTGAAGCTCAAGGAGAGAACATAATAGTTATTTCCTTTATTCTATGCGATTAATGTGTCAACATAATCACAGCAAAATGCTTCATTTTGTTCTTGAATTTATCATTAAATGATGAACTCATCATTTGCCCTTTTATTTTATTTTACTTTCCCTCTTAGCGTTTTGATATATTGTTTTATAGTTGTGTCTTGCTTATATACAGATTCAGGGTCTATGGAAAATCAAAGCCCAGAATCTGGCGGACTTGTGTAAAGAGGCCAAGGAGCTCAAGGATAAGTTTACATCATTCCAGATTCGACATGTTCTTAGGGTATAGACAGATAATGACTTGTTTACTAAGAAGCCACAACATTTATAAAATATATGCTATAACTATTTTAGACAAACAAGTATCAGCATTTGTTCAAAAGTCTCTATGTTCATATTCTTTGAGTAAGTTGTAATATTTTGAAATTCTTCTGATGGATTTCATCATTGATTGATTTTCTTTTCTTGATTACTGCTTGCTATCATAGACAACATACTGTATTCACTGTATTAATTGATCTTATGAACTCAATCAAGTGGTGAGGAGGCATTGAACTCACACTTCAATCTGCTCGTTAAAGTTTTAATTTTTTGGGCTGGGTCTTTTGCGCTCATCTCTGCTGTGCCTTCTATTTGTTTCAAATTCTGCAATTCATAATGTTGTTAAAGATTTATCACCATAACAAGTTATTCATTCAGTGTTGTTTATCGTGAGTTGTATATTGTGGTACATTGCATGTGTAGGTTGCTACACTTGGATGACCTGCACTTATACTATATTTCAGTTCTTTGTAATCTGTAAAATACTAAAAATGTCAGAGTAAGCAAGAAATTTATTTGAATGTAACTAGAGGTAATCTACTAGTAGTTACTCATAGCTCTTGCACTATTTGCATATCATTTGTCTAATTGAAAGGCCTTGTTTTCTGCTGCACTGGCTCATTCACTAACATTCTATTCTCTATCCAGGAATACAATTCCGAAGCTGATAAACAAGCAAACCTGGCCATTAATCTCCGGGGTAAGGATTTTCAAGCTGTACTCTTTTTTCTGGAAAAGTGCCAAAAAAAGTTACATATCTTTTCTTGCATCATTTTAGGGTCTGAATATTTGTGTCAACATAGATGAGATGGCATATGCTTTGTTCTGTTAACAAAGGGTTTGATGCTTTAACATTATTAGGCCATGCTAATACGCCATGGTACTAATATGTTGTGGCTAATTGAAGGTCTGACATATCGACATTGCATTGGACTAACAGTATTAAGGAACCAGACCTTAATTGTTTAATAGAATAAAACATAGATCAGCTTTTGTCAATGAAATTTTCAAGAACTGTAAAGTGAATAACATGAAATAACATGTTTTTTCCCCCTTATTTCTGTGGGTTCAAGAGTTATTGTGTTTCATATCCTTGCCAGCATAAAATTGTACATCTGATTTTTATGCAGTTGGCCAAATTGAAGAGGATTGCAACAGAAAGTAATCTGAATCCTAGGATATGTTCGCTCACATTATGTAGTAGCAGTAGTAGTAGTGCCGTAGGCTTTCGAACTTTTAGTGAATTAAAGGATAATGTTTTGATCCTCAGCAACTGAAAGTGAAGCATGCCATGACGTTGATTGCAGTCAGTTTGATAATGATCTGAGTATATTTTTATTTTTGCTATTTTTTAATAATTAAAGTAGGTGGAAATTTGAAAATAGTATTAATAAAAATAGGTGGAAATTTGGCATTCCATTGAATGTAATTATATAGATGCAATTAAGGTTTGTTTATTTTTTTAACGAAAAAATTAAATTTAAATGAAAATAGATCAACCAAAACAATTTACTTACATCACACGAACTATAAGTTCTCTGGACTAATTAATTGTGATGTGTAGTTTACTGTTAAATGTAATTCATCATCATGTTCTAAAAAAAATAATTAATGATCATTCTAAAAGAAATTACTAATGATAAAATAATTAAAGAGTTTCTGCTAAAGAATAAATATTGCATCTTTATATCGTACTATTTTTGTTAATAGTAGATTTAACGTGATATTTTTTTTATTGTTTATGCTTAATTTTTATTTTTCAATTTTTTTAAGTATCAGTCATTTTTAAATAAAAACATATATAAAAAAAACCCAGAAAGATAAATAATACCAAACATCTCTTTGCACTCACTACTAAAATTTGCAAAATAAATAACAAATGCACTTAATACACTTATGTTCTCAACTTATATTCTAATTAGCATTTCTTTTTTTTTTTTTTTAGAAATTATTATGACATTTTTAATTTTTGCTTAAATTCACTATTATGTCGTTTCTATCTAAAAAATTAGCACTTTTTAGCCTAAAAATGTGTTTAACTAAGGGTAAAATGATAACCTTTTATATAGAATAATTTAATAATGAATTTAAATAAATATTAAACACTTTACGGTGATTTCTTAAAAACAAAAAGATTTATTAAGTTGGGATATAAGTTTATATTTCCAATATTAATAATCACTCACCCTATTTACACCTTTCTTATTCACCAAAAATTTTCAAGAAACAGTAAATGGACAAACACATTTTTTTTTTCCATGATCTTGAATAAGTTTTTCTATTAAGTCATTTTTTGAAACTTCTTTATTGAACCCTCAAATTTTATGCTTGTTAAATAAGTGATAAATCCTTGGCTTTTAAGAGGTGCTACATTAATAATTTGGCACCTTATGTTCTTGGAAAAAAATAAAAAAACTATTCAATGTATAATATTTTGTTACTCTCTGAACTTTACCAATTATTTTTTATATATTTCTATTTTCTGTAATGATTTTATACCTTATCACGTTGGAATTGATGCTTTAAATAGAATGCGTTTAAAATAGTGAGCCAACAAAACAAAACCAAAAAAAAAAAAAAAAAAAAAAAAAAGAAAAAAAAAAAAAAAAAAAAAAAAGAATAATGTGAATTTGTGGAAACTGAGCTACCACCCCTTTCTTTTCATAACTTTATCGATTATGTATCTTAAAATATGAATTTGATAAGAAATTTAATTGACTCCAATATCTTAAGTCGCATATTATTATTTAATTAAGGAATAAAAAACAAACACTACAATGGATTAAAAAAGAGAGAGAGATTTGACAATATTTAAACCAAGCAAACTCATGAAAATGGCATTTTACAAAACTTTTGTTATGAAAAAAAATTGTTTTTATCATCCCATCAATAATGTGTTTTATGACAAATTTCCTTATCTCTTCAACATGAGATACGAGAAGCATATAATATGGCTAGCAATGGCAGTATCAGTAAGAGCGAAACCAAAACCTCGAACTACAATTAACGGTCATATGATATCATAAATAGCTTAATCAAAGACTCAAATTGGAAGTATAACGGTCATATTAATATGTCTCGATATAGTCTTCTTAAATATTTGAAAAAGATAAGAATAAAATTAAAACATCAAATCTATAATCTATAATTTTTATAATTTTTTTTTTCCTAAATGTAACTCATCGATGATATGAATAATTACAAATACTCGTATAAATTAGATATAGAATTATATTATTAATAGCTAATAGAGTTCAATAACCTTTTAATGAAATAAAAAAAATTCATATCCTTTTGAAAAATGAAATTAAAATTAAAAAATTATAATATTAGACTTTCCAATTGAAATTCATCTTGATAAAAGAAATAATAAATTTTTATAACAGCAATTAATCCATTAATTAATTTGACCGACAAAATAATAACTTCTCATCCTTAAATTTTTTTTTTTTGTTGTTTTTTAAATGGAGTAGTTTATTCTTAATGTTTTATTTCGTCTAATTCCATGATCCTTTCATTTTTTTTTAAGATTTTGCTGTTTATTTAATATTGAAAAGATTAAATTACCCCTTTAAAATCAACAAATTTTCATTTCCATTTTTTTTTACTCTCTTTAATCGCTAATTTATTCTTCCTCTCTATCTGTCTCTCCCGGCCACAATCTCTATCTCTTTGCGCACTCTGTTCTTTTTCCATACAGCGTCGCTGCTGGACTTCTCCATGTTTGAGTGTTACCTATTCTCAAAATTGGATTGAAGATCAAGTCAGATCTGACCATGAAGGGTCGTACACACTCAAACGACTAGAGACCTAAGTTTGAGTCTGTTATTTTTTTCTTTTAAATTCTCTAATAGCAAATTTGGTTCTCTCTAGTCTTTACTCATTCCATTAATATTTAACTATGCATTATTATTATTATTATTATAGTCGTTGAATTTCTTTGTTTTTTAAAAATTTAATATAAATTTAACTAGACTTATTTCATCCCAAAAATTGTATATAGAATAATTAATATTATTGCACAAAATTCAATAATTTTAGAAAACCATTTGACAATCTTTAAATTAATGGAAAAAATCATTCCATTAACGATAAATATTTGCAATCGTTAAGTTAACCCTTTTTTAATTATTAAAAAAAAATTAGGCACATTAAGACATAACTCAGTGGTAAGTGTATATATGATCCAGCAATAGATCTGGATTCAAATCTCTTTTCCTCAATACTCAAAAAAAAAAAAAAAAAAAACTCAATCTCAAAAAAAAAAAAAAAAAAAAAAAAAAAGATCTTTCTTAAAAATTGTGATTTATTTGTCATGGAAAAAAATTGTGTACACCATCCAATCAATTACTCATGACAGGCAATTGATATTTTTATAAAGAAAAAGCTTTCTTCCTTTCTACATGAAATATGTTAATATCGAACTTATATATACATTTCACTTATTATTTACTAATTTATTTATTTTTAATGAATCTGATTTATTTAAATTCTAAATGAAGTAAATAAAGTTTAAAATACCAATATAATTATACAAGATATTTTGTACAACAACCTTAACACGCAAATAAAAATAAAGAAAACAAAATATTTAAATTATATATTTAGTGATTTGAGAAAAATTATTTAATATGTTAAATTGTATGATAAATCATAAAAATAAATGAATACATAGCAACCTAAATTAAAAAATCTAACATATAAAACCACTCCTATCTAAGAAAATTTAAGAAATATATAATTAAAATAACATAAATAATAGTGTTAATCCATTATACAATATATATTTGTAAACTAAAAGCATCTTCATGGTTTTATCAAATTGATTTTCTCGTGTTATCTGAACACCAAAAAGCAAACATAATAAGAACTCTAGTGAATGAAAAATATCTTCTGATCATTTCATTGAAATGATCAAGTTACAGTTATCTTTTGTTTATTTACATCAGTCAAAGTATAGTTGAAGGAACTACGAGAATAATAACTAAATCTGACTAAACTAACATTTGGCGCCAGGTAATTTAATTAACTTTTTACTCCATAAACAATTAGAAAAAAGTTTGTTATTAATACAAGTAGTTGGTGATCATCTAATGCAATATCCGAACCAAAACTTTTGAAACTTATAGTGTAACCGTTGTGCACCAATGTTTCTGATATGGATAACTTGTATTACAAGTTATCTTAAAATATCCATTTGCTAATATAAATGAAAAACAATTTAATTGACTCCAATATTTCAATTAATTTTCATGTTAATGTTAATTAAATTTTAAAAAAATAAATTACAATAATAGCTATAAAGAAAAAGACATTCCACCAACTTAATTATAGCAAGCAAACTCATGAAAATAGCATTTCCTTAACATATAATTAAATCAATATTAAAATTATTTGCAATTGTTATGTTAGGCCTTTCTTAAGGGTGGAAAGTGTGTGATTTTGTTATGTGGAAAAAATTGTGTTTGTCATCCAATCAACTGATGACAAGTGGTTAAGTAAATTCAAAAGAAATCAATATTTTTACAAAGAAGCTTTCTCCTTTTCAACATTAGATACGTTGGTATAGAAATTGTATATGTTATTATATAGTCTATATTGACCAACTACTTCTAAAATTCATATTGATCTATGTACTTCAATTATATAATTATTCAATCTTTCTTATGCATGCAAAGTGTAATTATTCAATTTTACAGTAAGCATAGTATATATAATTATACGATATAATTTATTTTATAAGTATTAAACTACTAATTAAATCACTAAGATATATATATATGTACTACATCTCTGAAGTAAAGATACGTATGATGTAAAATAGTGAAAACATTAATCTCATAAAGAGCAATTATATTAAATTAAATTTTGTTCAAAAATTAAATATATATTATAACATCCTGAAATTTTAATTTCTAAAACTTTTTATTTAATTGAAACAAAATTATATATATATATAATTTTGATCATATACACGTAATCTTCTAATATTTTTTAATTAGAATATAATTTTTGAATCATATACACGGTAATCTTCTAAAATTTTTTAATTAGAATATAATTTTTGAATTTTTTTTATATCAATTGATTAAAATAATAAATTAATAAATAGTTATATTTTTTAGAATGTAGATAAATTATTTTTCAAAGTTGAGCACATTTTATTGAAGAGAATTTTATTTTTTGACTATTATAAACTTTTGAACATTCTAGGAGAAAAAAAATTTTATTTGTTCATGAGTTTGAACTGTAACTATGTGCTATAAATTTGAACTCACAAGCCAAATTGTTTAAAGGTTTTATGTGAGTTGCATGATAAACTTATTTTAATGAACTATTTATATTTTTTAACAAAAAAAAAAAAAAAAAGAAAAAAAAAAAAAAAAAAAAAAGTTAAAAACAACAACAAGCAGGGGC